CACAGTGGGTTTGTGCTCTGCTGCTAGGCTGGCCATTTGCAGCAGGTGGTCAGCAGTGACCGTGTCTCCTGCTTCCGCCATGGCCAACACGCGGAATTTGTTTGCTCTAGATTCCAGCACCCGTAGGCTAGGTGGGAAGGCCCATGGGGCTGGACACGCGAGTCCGGTTTCGGTTGGCGTGGGCAGCGGCACAAAATCTTCGGGAACGGTACTAAGGCAACATCCCAGTGCCGAGGGCTGCTCAATCGCCGGAGCTTCTCACTTGGTGATTCCTCCCCTTTTCGTTTACGAGAGGGAGACACAAAGCCAAGCAGCAGTGCTAAGACTGAATAGCACTTGCCGTGCTCCTCCAGAACAAGCCGATAGGCCTTCCCTGCCTGCGAGCCCATGTGGACCGTACTTGAAGGGCTGCTTGCTAGTTGGTCAAAATTACAGCTCTGGAAGTGCGCTGGGCAGAAGATAGCCGTTTGTGACCACGAAGGAAAGGCTATGCGGTATTCATGCATGCCCTGCAACCCGGTAGCTGTTGGTGTAATATCTACGACGAGGCCAAACTTACGAACAGTGGGACTACTCCACAGTTCTTGTCTTGTGGTGGCTTCTTCGACAAAAGTAAGCTGCGGGAGAAACAGGGCTAGAATGACAAACACTTCTCGGAACGGGATCGGTGCCAAGAGGTCTCGAGCCATCTCCGTCAGCCATTGGGCACACGCACTTGGATTGCCTTTGCCGACCCGAAAGTTTTTGAGCAGGAGTGCCTGCGCTTCTTCCATGGAGGCAATTTGCTGTCCTGCCACGCAGCTTTGTAACAACACGAGCAATTCTTGGTCAGGTCGGTGGAGGTTGGACACCAACAGGCTAATAGCTCCTTCCCAATCATCGCTTGTCATTACCGTTTCAAAGCGAACCCAGGAGGCCAAACGCATGGGCGCAGCGATTCGATCACGGCGAGGAACAACATCAGGGTGTGTGAGCTTCAGATCAGTGAGACTGACTTTGCCTGTAGGAAGCTGGCACTGCAGCCAGTGCCAGTAACAGTGTTTATGCTTGCCCATCCACCTTGCGGAGTCTGCTACATACGTGATGTGTAGGGATCGTTGCAACATGTCAAGTTCATTATCTGTCGGCTTCCAGTCGCACAAGCAATCTTCAGCAGCATGGACAAGATAGTAGTTGCGCCTGTCAGGCTCTGCAGTGGCAACAAGTGCCGCTAACACACTCTTCGGCATTGCAATGGCGCCGAGGCGTGCTGTGAGCTGACTGGCTGGCCAGAGGCAACGAATTGCTAAGGCAATCACTGCTCCAGTGTAGCTGCCTGCGCTAAAGCCATTTACCGTAAAGTGGGTGGGATCTTCCTGCTTAGCCGGCCGAAGACACCCAAGCACTGGCAAGTAGGCAATAAGTCGCAGCGGCTGCAACGAAAGTAGCTTCCACCAAAGACCACTGAGAAAGGCCTGGTGTGGCAGCCGTCTGTGAGCTGGGAGTAGCCTCGCAGCTTTTAGCACGTGCTGCGTACGTTGATACAGGAGGGCTGCCTTGCCATACCCAAGGTCTTCCCATTTTTGGCAAGGGTTATGCGTGAGTGCAAATAGGGTAGCGACTTCGTGTACTCCGGTCGACCAACCATAGGCAACCCCCCATTCCTGATCGTCAAGGACATCTGCGGGGGAGAGAGACGGCCCGTAGACTTGACTTTCCCCCACAGGCGGACACATGCAATGGAAGTGCGGGGGGACATCCCCTTCCAGGGCTCCTCCCCCAAGACCACCACAATTGATCTGAAATACTGAGGGTAATGGTGGGAAGTTATGACCAATCCAGTACTCATTGAGCTGCGCAATCATCCACAGGACAGTGACCCATAGTATTTCACCTTGCTGACACTGGTAGATAGCTTCAAACACTTGTGGCGCGATACCTTCCAAAGGCATAAACGAGCCTTGGAGTTGACTGAGCAAGTCATTATTGGCTTGTAAAAACTGCTCTTTTTCTCCCGGGACAAGACACTTGGGGTGAGCCAGAGCAGCCTGCAGTTGCTCATACGGACATGCTTCAATGTCCTTGTGGATTGCAATAATCCTTCGTAGCTTGGCGACTTGACTCCAGGGCACAAAGAGGGGAGGAGACAGCTGTTGCGGACAGAGAGTGCATGGACTAGGGTCTGGTGCTTGACTACCCTGCGTCAAGTCTCTTTCGATTGCTTTAGTGAGTCGATCTGCTCTTCTGGCAGAAGTGTCAGACGAAGGCGTGGAGACTGACTCCACGTCTGCGTCACCATCCTCTGCCGGAAGACAGCTAAGGCTGTCCACCTGCAGTTGTGCTGGAAAGAGTTCGGTCGCTCGCGGACGAATCGCCCGCCACTTAAGTAGCAGGCAGAAGCGCAAAGCACTATTCCCAGCTACACCTGAGAAGTAGCCTGTAAATTTACACCCACCTACTGGTTTCCAAGTCTCCACTACCCATGCTGGTGGCAGATTGGGCATGCCGAGTATAGCGATCGGTAGCGTTTCCCAACCCTGTTGCTCCAATTCTCGCAGAGCAACCTGCGCCCCAACTTTGGCCTTGCCAAAGGCATGAAAGATGGCAGGTCGCATTTGGTTGCGCGGCAACGCACTGGCTTGGAAGAGGTGTTCACCTGGCAACGACGCGACTGTGCATGGCCCTGTAAGCATTGGGAGCACTGACAGTATTCCCTGTTCGAAGGTAGCGCGGCCTCTGGCCTTTGGTGGTGCTTTTGTTCCTGGTTCTGGTTTTTGTTTGGTGTCTTTGTTTGGTTTTGGGGTTGCTTGTGTTCTTTTCCCCTCATCATGTTGTTTCCTTCCCTTCAATGATGACCTGGGCACTCCGCCCACATGGCGTCCGCACTCGTGGAAAAAAAACTTGTGCTCCAAATTCTCTGCAACCCGGAGCAAGGACTCTGCGCAGTGCATGGCAGCGGCTAAAGACACGTGCTTGCAGGCTACGAACAGTGTGGTCTAGATGCACAATTTGGAGGTGTTGGCAGTGGTGCCATGCACACTCTCCTATGGTCCCAAAACCTGCGTCTACTTGCACATGCCGTACCCTTGCAAGATGCGAGAACGCTTGTGGGTGGATTCTGTCACTGGCTCGAAAGGGGACTCGAAGAGCTTTGGTTTCTCCGTGCATTTGCCCCTTATGTTCAGCTTTCTCTGCGCAAGGGCTCACCACCGCAAAGCAATTGCAAGTCCCTCAGGGTCTGCCAGATGGGATCGACCAACTTCTGTTGCGAATCACGGCAGACAAAGTCCAGCTCGCAGCAAAAAGTGCTGCTTGTACCAAGTTCAGGAATCTGTTCCAGCACTGCATTTTTCAAATTCACGAAGACTATCATATTCTTGCAGGTCAACTATGAGCTGAGCTTCCTCCCCTGCCCGTGTGGTTAAGATCAGATGGATAACCATCGACCTTGGCTGTCTCAGCTTTACAGGAATTACAATGACGCTCACCCAAGGCTTTAAGGTCATAGGCGCGCATGCTTGTGACAGTTGTCACCTACTCAAGCAAGTTGACCTTTCTAACACGAAAGTTGAAGAAATCCAAGAATTCACTTTCGCGCACTGCACGAGTCTCAAGGAAGTTAGGTTGCCGACGCTGCACACCATTCGAGTCAAGGCCTTTATGAACTTTCTTTTTTTTGCACGAGTGGAGGCGCTGTGTGTGCAGGTCACGCACAAGTCACCTTAGTCGAGTTGAGAGTGAGTTACAGATCAGGTTGCGACACAAGAGGAAAACCTTTCTCAGTGGTCTTTGGTGGAAACTACTTTCGCTACAGCCGCTTCGACTTATTGCCTACTTGCCAGTGCTTGGGTGTCTTCGGCCGGCTAGCAGGAAGATCCGACCCACTTTACGGTGAATGGCTTTAGCGCAGGCAGCTACACTGGAGCAGTGATTGCCTTAGCAATTCGTTGCCTCTGGCCAGCCAGTCAGATCACAGCGCGCCTAGGCGCCATTGCAATGCCGAAGAGTGTATTAGCGGCACTCGTTGCCACTGCAGAGCCTGACAGGCGCAACTGTCGGCGCGAAGGCAGATTTGAGGTCCTTCTTCACTAATGAGCAAGTCCACATTCCCATATGAGTGTTGAGTGTGGAGTGAGTCTGACCTTTTTGGTCCCAGACAAGCCCAGTAGTGACAATAACGACATGGCAGCCGGGGATGTATGGAGCCGCGTCACTTGCACGCAGATCATAGGCAGTGCAGGCTGTGTTAGTTTCTGCCTCTTCTCTGCTAACTGGCCGAATGAAATATCTCTGGTGGTCTGGCTCCAGGTCAAAAGCAGTGAGCAATTTGGTGATTGCCCGACCAGCCGGGTTCTCTTTATGCGCTACTGCAATCTTGAGGTGAGTGGTAAGGGCCAGCCAGGCGAGGAGGAAAGTCAGGGATCGAGTTTTACCAGCACCAAAGACACCTGCTACTGCCAGGGTAGATCTGCCAGATCGGAGAGCCAGCGCTACTGCTAGGCTGGAAATGAGTTATGTTACTTATAGGTAAGTTATATCTTCGATAACTGAACTTGTAATTCGATAACTTAGGTTTTAACTTCGATAAGTTAAGGTTTAAGTTGGTTAACTCTAGTTATACTTATAGAAGTTAAATTATTTTATAAGTTAGTTAGTGTATTTATAAGTTAGTTATAAGTATTAGAGGGTTAGTTACTTAGAACATATAACTTAGATATATCTTAGTTACAACTACTTAGTTGAAGTTACAACGAGTTAGGAACTGTTTGTTTTGATGGATTTTTGGAAAGCTTTTGGGCTCAAGGAGGAATCGTCACTGAGACACTTTGTATATAGTGATGGCAGAGCAACAGGGCAGGAGACAGCAGCAAGACTATGTCCGCTTGGATGAGTTTCTGAGTTTAGAGGACTGGCAACGGTTGGGAGCCACCAACTCTAACCGAGAGAGGTGCACATATCTGTGCGATGTGTTGTACCGGAGACTGCAGCTTCGTTTGCCCACAGAGCAAACATACGCAGCCATGGTTTCGGTTGTGAGCTGCGTGGACCAAGCGTCAGGGGACAAGGGCACTCAGGCATGGTCCCTTCATGTGCTTCTACAGGAGCTTAAAGCTACCTGGCGCAGCACATGCACCAGGTTGAAGAAGTGGCACAAGGATCCGACCACTCTACTGCCTTGCTTGCCAGCCGGGTTTGAAGATCTGCCAGAGGAGATCCAGGCCGCGCATGGGAGCGCGAGGCCAGCAGACCCAGCGTCGAGACCGATTCGCGCGGACGCTGTGGCCGCAGAAGCTTCACAGGTGCGCCTGCGACAGACACACGCAGAGCACCCGAACAATCCTCGCAACAACTTGATTGCACAGAACCAGGTTGCGCAGAGCATGGCTATAATGCAGCTTTTGCAACACGCGCAACAGCCACCGCAGGGCCTACACAACCTGCAATTGTTTCCGCAAAACATGCGGGCACCGCAGCGCCAGGCCGGACGAGCTCAGGGCCTGACCAGTGGACTGGCTGCAGGGGCTTTGGAGAGTGGGACTCCCCATGTGGCGACCGCGAAGGCTCTGCAGCCCTTGGAACGAAGCGAACAAACCCGAAGAGGAAGAGGGTAAGGCCCCACGAGCTTCCAGTTCTCTGGGACCCGAGAAGGGCAACAAGGTCGAAGAGGTCAAGGCCCAGCGACCCGAGAAGGGCAACCAGGTCGAAGAGGCTGAGGAAAAGTTGGTGTCTGCCATCACTGGCCACACTTCCGAAGAGAAGACATCCCAGGCCATCACAAACGCAGAGACGTTGCAGAGCAAGAACAAGAGAGACGGGCAGAAGGAGGCCGACGCAGATGGGAAGGAGCGTCCTATGAAGCGTCCGGCGCAGTGCAAAAGCATGAAGCGACCGGCAAGCTCCAAGCCGATGGCCAAACCTGCAAAGGTTTGCGCGGAGGCTGCACCGCAGGCAAACAAGCCCAATTTTGCTTTCGAGGCAAAGTCATGGGGATCTTGTCGTTCGGAATATTACCGAGACAAGAGTTATATTCGCTACTGGGATATTCAGGATTCGAAGTGGCGGATGATTATAGGATCCACAGACCAGACCAACCACGCGTTGATCTGCGAGAAGCTGATTCCCTATGTGAAGCAGGGAAAGGGTAGGGATGACCTGCTCAAGATCCGCGCAAAGCTACTTTGAGCGTGAGCAGAAGCTCTCAATGGGGACTGCGTACCTGCGTCAGTGAAAAAATATATACGGCGAGACGTGTGGCATTGTTTTGTACCTTGGAAAAGTCTGTGCATTGTATGTGCGCGTATGTGTCTGTACATGTCGTTCCGTAAGGTTGGGTTCAAGCGGTCTGTTCGTATAGAGATGGAAACGTGCAGAGAGAAGTGGAGTCTCTATTTAGAGTTGATGGAGCACAAGATCCATTGGGACGTTGTGCGGAGGGGGAAGGAAGAGACGAGCGTAACCTCTCTCCTCTGTTTGCGCATCCTACAGACCTGCGGCAAGCAGTTGGCGACTGAGCCTCTGTTACTTTTCCGCGTTGCGGCGGGCAAGGTCATGGATGAGGGATATGAAATAGGTCCGGACCTTGTTGGCGTGAGCACAGCGCCACAGCCCTTGGCGGCTGTGGGAGATCTCTTACCTGGGGCCCGCGCGGCTCTCAGAGAAATGCTGCTTGTGGCGGCCCCATGCCTGCATCGCTTGCACGAGGAGGCGAAGCTGCAGCAGACTCGTGACATTGCGCGAGATATTATTTTCTGTTTAGACACGGTGTCTACC